TTCAGTCTAAAAATATATACATATCGAAGGCACATATATTCTTACTAATAAATGGAATTTTGTTTTGTCAACTAATAAAATATAAAATTTGGAGGCTGAATCTATAGTACTATTACGAAGGAAGCAATCTTTCTTTTTCTTTTTGCCTTTTCACTTTTCTTTGAGAGACAGAGAGTGATTCCATTACCATCTGTACACACAATCACTAATGGCCCGCAGTGTTCAATTGTCTGCAAGCTTATGCACTCAGCTAACAAATAAAGATAAACGTTACATATGCTCCTTTGTTTATTTTGACATTATCCATTAGAATATTCTTATAGATAATTGTATTATAAACTTGATGCATTTTTCTTTTCTTTTTATAAATTAAAACATGAATCAATTTTTTAACTAATTCATCGGACATTAAGGTATAATGTGTTTTTCGTAATATTTCTAGTAAAGGCATTATTAGTCCAAGAGAATTGAAACCTTAGTTAATTTACCTTGCTTCAGCTTATAAATTAATTAACTTACTTTTCGAAAACATTTCAATAATTAGTTTGTGTACGATTATATCAATTTAAAAATCTAGAGAATACTCATTTTACATTCAATCGGTTCATATGAATTCTTAAAATGGTTCGAAACTCTTTCCAAACTAGTTTTCTTTTGTTTGACGTTCTTTTTCCAATTTAATTTAACAATATATAAAAATAAACTTATACCAAAAGTTATTCTGTCGAGCGAACTTAAATGGAAAAAGAAAGACATCAAAGTGATGACAAGAATCGCCACAACGAAGAATTTATGAAGTGGAAAGATAGAGACGGAAAAAGACTTACAAAACGGAATATTTATTATAAAAAAAAAACTCTTTCGTAAGCTGAATTTTTCTTTCTAAAATTCATTAAGACAAACTAAAAAATGATTTATCATTTTAAATTATAGAGATGCTAAATTTATAGAGAACACCATAATTGTATTCCAAAACATTCACCGGCTAATAGCAAACAAAAACAATGTATATGTATACACAAACGGGTCAAATAGGGAAACTAAAAACAAGGTCCAAATTCAGCAATCATCAATCAATTAGAGAAGAATGAGAAAGTCTTTGAGGTATTGAATAAGGTAGAAAAACTCAACTGCATCATCTTCTAGAGAGGGTTGACCTTATACAAGAGCATTTGCATGTGGATTTCATCATTACTAGTGAGAGAGTAAACTAATCCGTATTTAAACTCCACTATTACACTTATTGTTATTTTTAAACTGAAAACTAATAATTGAATAATCTATGTTTCAGGTTTTAACTATTTGAAGTCTTAAAGAAAACAATGAGAATTTAGGGGAAAAGAGTGTCTTGGAAGACATATAAATAGGCTAAATTAGATAATTGTTATTTTGGATTGCTAATATATTAGTATATAGAAGTGCTAATGATTATCTACTCAATATCATCGATTTTAGAGATGCCTTAAAAATGAAGCTAGGAACATTATCTATTCGAAGAAGCTTATTATAATATGTAACTCACTAGGTTCTTGATCCATATTATATAGTACAAACATAATCCACATAACAATAATTGAGGATGTTCTTCTCTAACAAAAATTATTAGAAAGATGATATTTAACCAATAATA